CATTTTTCCGCCCGACACATGGTCCGCAGCCATTTTTCCGCCCGACACATGGTCCGCGGCCATTTTCCGCCCCTGACACGTGGTCATAGGGAGGGGGACTCTCCCTCCAAGCAATAGCCGCCTCCCTGTCCTCCACGCCAGAACGGATTAACAGTAATTACATTGAACCTTATGGGAAAATTTCCTTCGGGTTGCGACCAATTCAGGGTGCGACCAGAGTCACGGAACGAATTAAATTCGTAAACCAAGGTTCCACTGTACAGCATTAAAACACAAGAATAACACAATTTTTTGTTTTGTTAATTTAGATTAAAGGAAGAGACATTATGTGGTTCAATATATTGGGGAAATTAAAGTACTGGGGACTCAGGGCCAAGGTACTTTGACATATCTATAGCTCACTCATATCGATACCAATACATATCATGATTGATGAAAAAAATAAGCTAGATGGCTAATACATTTTAGAAACAAACTGCACTTTGCATTCTACAATGAGGACTAGAAATTTACTATTTTAAAAATAATTTGAGTTTTTTGAGACTCCAAAGGAGCCAAATACAAAATGTCAGCTTGAGAATCACTATATTCAATTACATTTTTGTTGCACAGATATGGTAGTCACGGGATCTCTGTTTGCTTTTGTATCTCTGGTTGCTTTTGAAGCTCCTCAGTTTCCTTCAGTACAGGTTGGAGCTGCTGTTAAAAGCACAAATATCAAGATCCTTTCAGCAATCAGAGAAGTCCACGGTTGTTTTAAACCCATCAATTCAAAATTAAGAGTGATATTTCATTATTATTATCATCATCGTTATCTAGCCTTTTGGGGGGGGGGGGTGCCTTTGAGTCAGCTTTGACTGCTGGAGACTACCTGGACTAGTCTCTGCAGTTTTCTTGGCAAGTTTTTTCAGAAGTGGTTTGCCATTTCCTTCTTCTAGCCATATACCCTTGGCTATTCTGAAGGTTCTCCTGTATATCAGAACTGTGATAAATAGAACAAAATAACCTCAGGTAATGGATAAGAATAAAACAATTAATGTTAACTTCCTACTTCAACCTTTCAGAGAAATACTAGAAACACAATTTGTACACCTAACAAGAAGCACATATTTTCAATCAAGACACTTTATTTTTGTGGAGTCCTTGGTGCTCTCTGAGCTTGGTTGTTTGCTTGCAGATATTTCATTACCCAACTCAGTAACATCATCA